TCCATTAGTCTTTGTCACTCCGTGGATATTTGAGAAGCTCAGAAGTGGTGTTTCTTTTATCGCACCAAACAATTGATATGCACTGGTAAACTTTTGCAGCATTCAGCTAAAGGTTCTATGTCCGTATATGCCTATGTGCTTGTACATGCATATTTATTTTTTAAACTGATAAATGTCATTTGCCAATTCCAATGTTCAAACTCCGATTTGAAAAACCAATTGAAGTTATACAGGCTTTGTGCATGCCAATGCCAACATCACTCACAATAAATGAGTGACATTCATACCCTTTTTCTTGATTTTATTCTTTCATTTCAAAATTTCCCGAGGGAGGTGGTTACAAAATGGCTAGGGTAAAAAGTGGGGGGAAAGGACAGGGGGTGGGGTGGAAGACAGGACTGAAAAGGGTCAGCAGCATGGATCTTTGTGGAGAAAAAGCAGTGCAGGAAGAAATAGAAGATATTGTAGAAAAGTAAAGCTGAAGTAGAAAAATGTGTCCTGAAGAAGAAAAGGAAAGAAATTGGCAAATGTAAATGACAAATAGAATAGTCCATCAGATAAGTCCAAGGTGTGTGAGTCAGCTTTCCTGAATTAGTCCCGTATCTGCCTTTCACCAAGTGATCTTAAAAGAGATGCATTCCCTTTTAGTGCTTCAGCTTCCTTATCAGCAAAACAAGGATATAAAATACACAACTCTCACAGTGAGCTAAGACCTTTAATTTGTGATACAGAAGTAATGACACTAATCTACTGCTATTAGAGAATGAAAAATTACTTTGTTTTTTACTATTTGGTATGCAAATGCCTAGTACCCATAACTGAGGAAAGTTCCATTGTGCATGGTACTGTACAAAAACCTAGAAAGAAAAAAAGTGAAAGGTACAGATATGAAAAATGATGAGAAAAACCAAGGTACACAGCAACTTCACAAAAAAAAAATTGTAAACCACACATCAACATGTGCTGTAGTAGTCTCATTTGTGTGTGAGGATGGAGAATTGTGGTACATATAGAAGCAGGGTGGAATTAACATTTTTGTTCTCAACTGTCTTTCATTAACAAAACAAACACTGGGGTTTCAAGAAACAGACTGAGAGACCACAGAAATCCGAGGCAATGAAAAATCTGAGCTTTTTTACCCAAGAACAGCTAGCGTGAGATAAGTACCTTTTATGAAAACAATGATTTTGATTTTGTGCCAGACAGGAAGGAAGACAGACTTCTGAAACTTCAAAATGCTCAATAGTGACAAAAGCAGTCAAGAGAAAGGAAGAGAAGTTCATAACTAAGAAAAACTCAATTTGAGAAATACTAATACACTTATCAGGAATGGAAACTACAAGCCTAGCAGCAGATGAGATTTAGAATTTACTTTTAAATTTATTTCTTTCTAGGTTTTCTTTGTTATTCCCAATGAAATGGCCCACCAGACCTACCAGGCATATAACAGACTTGTAAAACCTTTCTGGTTTTACAGGTCTTCCTTTCCATGCTCAGAGTGGATAAGTAGATCTTAAAAGGAGAGAGCATTGACAATGTCCACCACTTTTTGGCTTCTAGAAGGGGTTCTAATGTCCTGCTTCTCAGACCATGAACAGAAATTCAGTGATCTGGAGGACTTAATAAAACTTTGGAGACAACATTCTCCTTTTTAAAAAAGCTATTTCACTGGGATATTTGAGTCACAAAGATAATAGCATTTTCAATGTGTATCCCCTGTGCCCTCTAAGATTTTAAAATTAAGCAGGTTTTAATCTAGCAGTTAGTTTGTCTGATTCTCTTTTAGGTTCTCCTTCAGCTTTGGCCAGGTTCCAAAGCTTTTTTAAGAAAGAATTCAATGGACTGCTGTATAGATAATTTATGCAGAAATTACTGTCAGTTTCATGGGCAGCTACTGAGCCTTGCTGTGATTGGAACTGATAACTATTACCAAGATATGATAATTTCATTTAACATTAGGAAACCATCTGGTGCCTTCATTTCTTGTTGTAACATAATGCCATTGTTTTACTCAATCCACTCTCATTAAAACAAGATAAAGCAGCTAAGGAAAAACATACACACAGATGATAAATGTATCCTCTCAATCATCTTTGTGTGAACTCTCCCAAAAGTCATACTCTCATAGATTTTTGAAGTACAAGGGGACTACTAAAATCTAATCTGAGCTTTTGTATATTGAAGGCTATCTATTTCATTGAGTAGCCTCTACATCATAAGCACAATGTGCTTGGGCTGTGCTGTATCTATTTTCCTCACAATGTCTGCATGTGATGGATGAATCCAGCCCAGTCCTAGGTAACTTGTACCAGTGGTTAATTACGCTTGCTTTTAAAAATAAGCACCTTATTTCTAGTCTGAATTTGCCTAACTTCAGCTTTGAAACATTGGTTCTCATTATGCCTTTTTCTGCTAGATTAAACAGTCATTTGCTGCCAAAAGACTCATTCCCATTAAGGTACTTACAGACCATGATCAAGTCACCTCTTAACCTTCTCTTCAGCAGATTAAACAGACCAGTCTTCTTTAGCCTCTAACTACAATGCTTATTTCCAGACCTACAGTCATTCTTTCACCTTTAATGAACTCTTTCCAATTTTAAACATATTTTCAAAGTGTGGTCACCAGAACAGGACACAGTAGTTCATTAACAGTTTCCCTAATAACATATAAAAAGGCAGTGTTACTTCCTACTTGATATTCACTTGTCCATATATCAGATAATATAGGATATACCATTTAAAACCCTTTAGCTTACTGATAAAACAGAAAGTATTCTAAAAGGAATTTAAAATGAGAATATTTATCCATTTTTTTTACACACAATGCAGAAAACATTCGCAACTCTTCTATTTATATACACTATCTCTCCTTTTCTGTACTAGCTTTATGCATAGCCACTTCTGTCACTTAAGATATTTTTCTGATAGTTTTTGTCTTCCTTTATCAGTTACCTGTTCTTAAGCACTTTTTATATTATAATTTAGCAGTAATATCTATGAGCTGTTCGACTCCAGTAGTACCTTTTGAGGAAATTCCACTTAGTCTTATTTTAAAATATTTTCTTGCATTTTCATTTTCTTCATGTAAACAAAGTACATTAGCTGAACCATAAGAAAAGTTGCAGTTACTTCTAATGCTTAAGTTTGGATCTATTTAATTAGGTAAATAATACCAATTAATTTACAAACTACTAGATAAGAAAGTATACATCAGTACACATTAGAAAAATATTTGTAATCATTTGGTTGCTACCTGGAAGAGAAGTTCTTAACTATCAATACATTTTCATGTCACAAAACAATTGTGAACCATGACCTGTTCACAGATAAAGCCCAGAAAATAAGCTTGTTTAACAGAATAAACCTTAATTTGACCTAAAATGTATTAGCTGAATAAAGAAGTCCCATGTTTTGTTCTGATTTCTCTTTTTCATTCATAGTGAAGAATTCATAAATGTACTAAAAGCAATACCAAATTAAATGATCTGACACTGTAACTCCATTGTGTATAAATCTAGGTTATTTCAACTGCAAGCAAAATTCTTCTGTGCAAGATGTGCAATTGCTATTTCATTAGAAGTATGTCCTCTCTAGCTCTTGGATACAATATACTAGATAAACACAAAATATATCTAGATAAATAGAAACAGAGGATGGAAGAGAGTAGAAAGAATTATGCAGAAAAGGGAGTAGTTTATTAATATGCAGAGGGGAAAATCATCCAGAGAAAGAGAAATAGTTTAAAAACCCCACAGATTATGCTCATACGAAGAAGGAAGAAGAGTGAGTAAGAGAGAAAATTAAGAACAAGGAAAATTAAAAGTTAAGAAGATGCAGAGAAAAATGCTTCTGGCAACCACAAGGAAAGACATTGCTACTTTAAACTTGTTTCCTAATATTTTAGAGTCCATAATTAAAATCTGAATTACAACAAGTTCAACGTTTTCTGCCAGACAAAAATGTAATTAAAGCCCCATACTGGTGACTCAAAAGATACCTGGTGTCAGCTCTTTATGTCCTGAGACTTAAGCCATTTTGAATCTTTTAAAAACCTCAGCTGTTAAACTTTCAATGTTTCTTTTAACTATTTCACATATTTCCTGACAGCAAGAATCTTCTAATTGATTAGTTATTTCTATTAACTTCATAAGTTTCTTCTCCAACAAGCATTCTAGGAAAAATACTCAGAACCTTAACTATAAGTCAAGCAGTGTAAAACATTCCGACATGCTGAAGTTGAATTGATTTTTATTTCCAAGTAGAAGCTGAAAGTCCTATAATTTTTTTAAAAAATAAAACGATGTGTAGACTTCAATTGACTCTAAGGTCATAAGATTAAACAGTGACTATTTAGCCTTGTTATATAAACAAATTTTGTACTCTCTGAATCTAATGAGAGGAACTGACCACACACTCCTCTATTTCTGCACCAGTTTACAAGTTACCTGGGACCTCAGTTTGTCTAATTTCAAATGCCAATATAACTGTCTCTTCAAAGATTTAGGTGACAGCATAATAACTCATATAAATAGAATATACTAGCTAGAAGTCTTCAAAATGTACCAAAGATTGGACAAATAATGTTAAAGACCTCTCTCTCTGGAAAGTCTGAGACACCTCTGTGTTATCAAACACAAGGAGGTATAGAACAAACTATTCTCTCTCTCTTCATGCATACTTTTCACTAATTTAAGCCCACTTAAATGCTTGATGAAGCTAGAAAGCAGATTTCTTTCTAAGGTTTTCTCAGTCGAGCCACTAATATCCTCAGTGTAGTCCAGTTGCTTGAACAAAGACTACAATTAAGTATAATGCTACTGAACTGATATTGTAACTCTAAATCTGACAAAACCCATTCTTTTACACAGCTATACAAGATTATGAAAAAAAAATTGTCAGAGAAATTGCCTTTTATATCCATTGCTCCTCAGCAAGGTGCACAAACTTCCCCACCACGATCAGGATACAGAATCTTTTCAAACAGAATATAAAGCTTACCTTAAAGAAAGTCATGGTTGCTCCATCTTCAACTGCACCGTACTCTATCTTTGTCTGCTTGGCCAAATCATCAGCAGAATCAATAGGAGACTCCATGCGTTCCACTGTCAGAAAGGCGGCTAGGTTAGCAGTGTACGAGGAAATGATGATAAGTGTGAAAAACCACCAAATGCCTCCCACTATCCTGGTGGAGAGGGCTTTGGGCATGAGCTCAGAACCTAACGAAAACCAGGGGAGAAAGGTGAAACCAGTGCACAAAAACCAATTAATAAGTGTTCAGCAATTTTTGCCACAGTGGGGAAATGGAATCACTGTGCAAAAGAATCTTTAAGCTACAGGCTTACATGTGCTGCTTGTACAAACACACACAACTGAAATGAAAAATAAGAACTGATTACACTTATAAAGACATTTTTTTTTTGAGCTGTGGGAATCAAAAGATAGTAATGGGAGACTTGATGATCAGTGCCTTTTTAAAGTTTATAAATATATATAGAGAAAGCAATGTTTAAAAAGTAGTTACTTGAACTGGCTTTTCACAAAAAATCTTAGCTGGACTGAACCTCTAAGTTAATACTAATATTGAAGCTCTTATACAGTTCCTTATCTTCAAGGCACTATATTTTAGTATTTTGTAAAAACTTACTTGAGTAAAAATAAGCTATCAATGAAAGGAGCAGATATGAAATAAAATATTTCACATCTGAAATGCACAAAATGAAATCTATTATGAATACACTTTTAACTTTTTCCATTTGCATTACTGTAAATGTTTATTTGACTGCTTAGACAAAAAAATGAACATCTCCCATCTCTATAGTTAGCCCCACAATTTCAGATAAATATGGGTGGCTATACCACACACTTAATTTGATAGAGCAATAATGAAAATATTAGACCGCTATGCATAAACTAGATAAAGATAGATTATAATGCATTGCTGGAGTTGCCTGCTCATGGCACTAAAGAATGAAGGGGGTGACAGACACTGTATAGTAATTTGCATAATTATTAATGCTAATTTAGAGTCTAATGAGATAAATTGAAGCACATGAACTCCTCTTGTGCCTAATTACTAAAAATAGGAAAAAAAAAAATCAATGTAATTTACAACCACAAATATTTATTATAAATGAGCATGTATGGATTTTTTTCCATAACACTAGAATTGAATGGAATGAAATTTCTAATGATGTCAAATAAACAATTTCAAGCTTCATTGCAAGAACTTTACATAAAATCTTTTAGAAGTATCCAGAAACTTGTTTTCAAAGAAACAGTTTTATCATATCCATTATACCATCATACCAAAATAATCATTTTTTGTTAATTGGTCACTATGGTTGCTTTTAAATCTCCTGGGTAAAATGGAATGAAGGCAAGATGGACTATTTTATTACTGTTAAATTTTAGTGTTCATATTGAGTTACTTAAGGAACTCGTCCAGCAAGGTAACACATCTTCATATAAATTAAAGATTATGCCAAACTTCCAACGTCAATGCCAAAAAAGAACAGAAAGGGAAAAAAAGAAAAAAAAAAAAAAAAAAAAAAAAAAAACAAAAGAAGAAAACAAAAGAAAAGGAAAAAAGAAGTGGTATCATAACTGGACTATCGTATTTAAAAACAGCCCATCTTACCCTGCAGTTCATCTTACCCTTGCTGTTTCAAACAAAAAAAGCTGACAGACTTGGACATGACAGCCAACTCCAGCGCCAGACTCTGCCTAGAATTCTGCAAGGAAAAAAGTAGAAAAGTACCTTTCTGATGCAGTTGCTCCTAGGCCCTGTTAGTCAGACACTTAGACACCAAAACACTAACAGACTTCCCAATAAGCCCACCATCACCAAATCTTTTTAACTGCTCTCATTTCATTTAAAAAGCAACACCAGTAAAGTCAAATAGGACTGGGAAGAAAAGAAGAGGAGTGGAAACGTTTGCCGCGGTTGCCCCAATTACCACAAGTTCATACCTCACCAAGGACTGAAACCGGGTGCCACCTAGGCCCATGAAACAGAGCCTGGTTAGGGGCTGACTGTCATGTACCCAAGGTAACGTCATGTCCAGCACTATATCCCACCATTTCCTGGGAGCGAGGGGTGTCAGCAAGGCACGTATGAGTTCCCTCTATCATGTATCCTCCAGCACTAAGCAAATGTTTTGTAAAGCAGCAGCACTTAATAAGTTAATATGAGTATGGCCCAAGCGCTATCAAACTATTTCTAATGGAAAGTTGTTGCTGTTAAGTGAGAACTTTCATGCTTGTGTAAAGGCCTGCCTTTAGGTGACTTTAGGCTCTTATTTTTTTAGCGCAATTATCAAAATCAAGACTGATACTTCATCCTTAGAACGCTGCCTTTGAAAGTTTATTAAAAGATGCCTTGAGTCAAAGGCAAAATGATATAAGGCAAGGACAGAGGGTCAGCCTTAATTCTGAAAAACTAGTTTTCCTTCATGGTAAGCTATTGTCCTCCAAATATGCATTTTAAAATAATTGTTGT